GAAAGAGCCCCTCAGTGGGGCGTGGTCACACTGCAGCTCCTTCTCCATCCTGTTGCGTCCCGCTGGGACTCGCACACACACATTCGGCATGTTTCTCAGGGTTACCAGGCTCAGGATTTGAACCTCAGTTAGCCATGGGGGATCTGATTTTCTTAATTACTCAGCCACAGGGTTGGGCTGGTAATGGGATATTTCTTGAGAAGAGATTCTGGAAGTGTCTATGGAGGACAGAGGAAGGTTTTGGTGACGTTTTGGGGACCAGGACTCCCTGGTACTCTTCAAGATGTATTGAGGCCCCGAGGAACTATGTGTAGGTTATATCTGTTGATATGTCTCATTAGAAATTAAATATTTAAAATGTTCGTTAAAAACGTGTAAATGATTTTATTAAAAAGAGCATTTTCAGGGCCAGCAGGTGGCATGGTGGTTGGGGTGCTGGACTCCCACACCGCCAACCGTGGTTTGAGTTCCGGACTTGGTAGCTTGCTTTCTCACTTTCCCTTCCTCCTTCTGGTGAGCACATGGGCCCTATAGCAAATAAAAATAAGAATAATAAATAAAATTAGATAATTTTTTAAAAAGTGTTTCTAGAGCAGCACATTTTGGAGTAGCACGGCGCGGACTTGCGTTGTAGCCACCTCTTGGGTGTTACTCAGCTTGTTGGGTTGTTTGGGTTGAAATGATGTGAACGAAATCCAGCCCACACAGATATGTGCCTGGAAAATGGAGAACCACCACAATAGCCATTTTAGATTTTAGGTAACTGTGGATATTCCCTTCCTCCCCACCCCCCAGGGAGCATGTGCTGGCAGGAGAGAGAGACTGAGACAGTGAGAAGCAAAGCAAGAAATCATCCCCCCGGGGGGATGACCGCACTGCAGTCCCTTTTTCTCCGTTCTCCTCCTGGGACCTTGGGCATGCATGCACACAGGCTTGGTGTGATTTTTAAGCCTCTGGGTCTGGGACTCAACCATGGTTGGCCACTGGGAGAGCTAGCAACATAACTGCTCTGCCGTCTGCTGGCCCAACATGCGCCTTGTTTGTTTTTAATGTTTTTCTATAAGTGAGAAAGACAGATAGCATCCCCATTAGGGTTCTAATGGTTCCAATGTTGGATCCACCCCAGCCTCTGCCAGCTCCTGCCAGTCCCGGGGGCGTGTGCTAGCCTGACACTCAAGGTACTCTCCAGAAGTGAACCCAGTACCTCCCTGTGAGGGTGGGCCCTACAGAGCATCATGGGGTTTTTGGATTGTTGTCTTTTAAGGTTTCTGCCATAGGTTGTGTGTGCTCGCTGGAGAGAGACAGAGACAGTGAGAGGGAAAGTGAGAAATCACCGCTCAGGGGGATGGCCACATTGCAACTCCTTCTCCTTCATTCTCCTCCTGGAACTTTGGGCACACGTGCCGGTGTGGTTTTTTAAGCCACCAGGTCTGGGACTTGAACTGGTTGGCCAAGTGGGAGTCCAGTGCCTCAACCACCACGCCACCTGCTGGCCTGAGCATTGTGTTTTAGTGCCGTGCCACTATGCAGCCCCTCATACTCTTTTTTGGATATTCTATCAAAACTTGGTCTTTTGAGCCCCAAATGGATCTTCGATCCCTTTGCACAATATTATAGTATCCATGTTAACCTATCCTTGGTGGTCTTTGGAAAATACTGGCTTCACCACTGCGCTGCCCGCCCGCCTGCTGGCCCCTGTGGATACATCTTGTGTTGCAAGATCAAACCGGTTTCCCGAAGGCTAGTAGCCACCAGCCTCATCAGAATACCTGTGGGCAGGCGTCAGGCTCAGCGGGGAGCAGGTGCCCCAGGATTTGAATTTGCTGTTTGAAAGCCTGAATTTTATGACGGGTAGTAGGTGTTGTTGGCTTTCTTCGAGATGACAGGCTCTCTCCCTTTATTTTGGAGAGAATAGCTGCAAAACCCAAGGTAGAGGGAGCGCTGTTTGTCACTTACCCTTCGGGGACAGGGGCGTCCCTGTCATGAGGTGAGCTAACCTCACAGCCTGGTCACACGTGCTTTCCTCCGGCACTCCGTAGGAGCGCTGGTGTACTTACATTTCAGTACTTGCAGCATCGAAAAGACTTATCTATGGTCTTCAAAAAACATCTCACGGAAACCACACATTAGAATAAAAGTAACCTGAATTTCCTTTTTTTTTCCTGCCCCAAATGACACTTGTATCTCCTTCTTTCCCTCTTTGCACAGTTCTTTTTTTTTCGAAGTCTCGTATATTCAAGGGCTGAGATTTAATACAATGGTTTATGCTGCTTCATCATAGACATTTTAGGTTTCTGCACAGGATGTGTGCTCGCCTCCCTCTCCCTCCCCTTCCCTCTCCCAGGGGCTTGGCCACGCCTCAGTCCCTTCTCTGGAATTTATGGTTTGTGACTGTCACCAACAGCCGCTGCAAACAGCCAGCGTCATCTCCCAGTTCGCGTGGTCAGGAGTCAGTGCGCCGCTGACCCCGGGCTCATTGGCTCAGGCTCCCATGGGCACTAGAGGTGTGCAGAGGCCACTCAGGCTCATGGCTGGACAGGGAGAGAATCTGCCTCGACCCACCCCCGTGGAGGTTGACAAGGCTCATCTCCCGGGCTGTCCGACCCAGAGCCAGTTTTCCAGTGTGCGTGGGTCAGAGACCTTTGTCCGTCCCCTGCCTCGCGTGGTTCTGTCTGGGGCAGCTCACCACGTGCCCCTGGCTTCCCTGGGAGCAGCTGAGCGCAGGGAAGGGTGAGCAGGGGAGACTCTGCCTCCCCTTTGCGGCTGTGCAGGGGGATGGCTGTTGCCAAGGCTGGCTCTCGTGGCAGGTGTGCCTGCATGTAGCCCTAGTGTGGAGCTGGGCTGCCTTTTGTTTTGCCTTCTAACCCTGCTATATTTAGATACAACCTAAACCTCGTTTAAGAAAGCTGTTGCTTTAGAAATTACATCCCTAGAGTGAAAAAGAAAGGATGCAAAACTGTTAGGAAAGAGGTAAAATGTAAGTGGGGTAAATTTTAGAGCCGACTTTCTGGTGGGAGACAATCTCAAGGTGATTTCTCCAAGTCCACTATCCTGGAAGCAGGAGTGTAGTGAGTAGAAGATTTTTAAAATCTTGGCCCAGCGGGCGGCATGGACTTTAAGGTGGCTGGATCCCATATGCTGACTGCTCTGTTTGGGTCCAGTACCTGGTGGCTTAAAAACCCTCCAGGTGCATGTGTGTGTGTCCTCGTGTGTCCCAGATCCAGGAAGAGATTGGGCGTGAGGGATTGCAGCATGGCCAGCCCCACCACCCCGTCTCTGTGAGTATGCGTGTCCTATGCCAAAAACAAACAAAAACCTAAATAAGTCATTTTTACAATAGACATAGAAATTTTGAAACATGTTTTCCTGTCTTCTTTTTTTAAGGTCTTTGCCATAGAGTGTGTGCGCTTGCTGGAGAGACAGAGAGAAACGGAGAGAGGGAAAGTGAGATCCCCCTGGAGGGGATGGCCACACTGCACCCTTCCTTTTCCTGTTTCTGCCTCTTGTGACTCTTGGACACGCATGCCCATGTGCCTGGTGTGATTTTCCAGTCCAGGACTCAAACTGCAGTCGGCCATGTGGGAATCCACTGCCTTAACTTTTTTTTTTTAATTTTAAAAATTAAATGATTATTTATACATTTAATCGCTATACATCATTTAGGTTTTAAAGAGACTTGACCCAGCGTGACACACACCTCAGTCCAGCCCAGTTAAGAACATATGCGTGTCCTCATCAACAGATAATAAACCGCATCTGCACACTGCTTTAACCATTAATGCTGCCTGCTGCCCCCCACCCCGGGACTTTATTTTTAGAATCCAGGGCGTGATCTCTAGATCAAAGTTTAGAAACATAGCTTTATTATAGTCAAAGGCAAAGAGTGGTACAGTTTAAATCTATAGATTGTATTTTAACATTGGGATATTTGTGTTTTACTATACTTGTTTTTGCTTTTTGAAAGATTTTTTTAAGATCCCAGATTTTAAAGCCCTTTAAACATACCAAAGCTGGAGAATCCAGGCTGTGATAGACCTTCATTTGTAAGGGAAGGAAGGCCATCTTTGTTCACGTTTGAATACCTCCCTCCCAGCTTTTGATAAAAAGTAACGTTTGCAGTGCATTTTCTGCCTATTTTATGTTTCGTTTATTAAGAGAGAGAGACACACACAGGGACAGATAGACAAGCACACTCAAGAGGGTATCGTTCTGTCATCCTCCTTGCAGCCTTCTCGGCTAGCGGGATCCTGGGTGCCTTTGCACCCCACGTGCGCAGGTTGACCCAGGAACTGAACCCCGGTATTCCGTATGACTTCCAGTATTGCCAGCTGCTGGTGAGAAGAGCACCACCTGGCCGGGCCTCTTCTGCTTCTTTTAAACCATACTGCTTGTTGGCTAAAGTACTTCTGTTGTTTGTTTTTAGAATTATAAATTATGGAACATAGATAGGCAAAATTATACCATGAATCTTAGCAACTTGTTTTTTTTTTTTTTTTAAAGAATCCTTTGAAATTTGTTTCTGCTCATGGGGGTCACTCTTCACTCCAGTACATGTTGCTTAAAGCCACAGTCCCCCGGCCATTGCGTGGTGTGGTTGGATTGCATGTCCGGGGTAGTCTCTGCAAACGTGTTTAACACAGGTGTCTCTGTAACAGGAATCTTACCCATCTTCTTCACCAATATGGTTTGTGGACTCTGATGACCCAAATCTGACGTCAGTTCTGGAACGTCTAGAAGATACTAAGAACAACAATTCGGTGAGAAAATAAGCCAAGCTACTGTTTATCATTTTTTTTCTCTCTATGAACACATATGTGGAACTTCAGAGTTAAGAGATAGAAAGCTTGATTAGTGGCTATTTGGTAATCTTGGAAGGGTTAAAGACCAGGATGTTTTGTTGTTAAACCCTGTACGTTTTTACTGTTTACTGCCTGGCTTCTTGCTGACTCTGTCTTAATTTCACACAGGCACAATCTTAATTTAGAGTGGGAAGCAGCCAGTCTCTTTTCCCTGAACTCTGAGCACTAGACCAAGTAAGCATTTTAGGTTAGAGACCCCTAACCAAGGTGGGGAGGGGGAGAGGGCAAAGACCAAGGTAGACCGGCGGCCGGGAGGTGGCGATAGAGAGCACCAGTGCAGTGTGAGGGAATGGCTTTGTCCGAGGTGTGTCCATCTGCAGTCAGAGCTAAAGGTATTCTAACAGGCTTTGATGTTTATATATAAAGAAATACTAGGTTGTCAGAAAAGTCATGGTGCATTTTTGCATAGAAAAACATGTCATGACTTTCCCAACCACCTAATACAATTTCCTATTTTACAGAAGTTTTGAAAACCTATCTTTTTGATTATAGAATTTATAAATAACTGTTAAGAGAAAGTTACTAAAATGTAGTGAAGGCAAAAAGAAAACTAAAACCTCCGATTTTTCTCTACCCAGTAAAACTGCTGCTAACATGAGGCTGCTTTCTAGCAGTATTCATTTATTTTCCTTTGCTAGTAAAGTAAATTCATCGTTACACATAGGTAAGTAGTTGAGGTCACGTTCTGTATAGCTTCATATCCTTTCAGACAGTCAACATTTTCATCACATTTTGCGTTAATACAACGTTATTGAGGAACAGTAATAATTGTTATTTGTAGGTGACTATTTTGTGAACAGTTTTTAAGAGGACCGATTAAAAGCATGCTTGGGACCAGCAGTCAGTGTAATGACTGTGTTGCTGGACTCCCACGTAGTCGACCATGGTTCGAGTCCCAGACCCGGTGGCTTAAACTCATGCCAGGCACATGTGCATGTGTGCCCAAGATCCTGAGAGAATGGAGGAGAAGGGATTGCGGCATGGCTATCCCCCCTTGGGGGGGGGATTATCACTTTCTGTTTCTGTCTCTGTTTTTCTGGCGAGCACACACACCCTATAGCAGAAAACCTCTGCAAAAAAAAAAAAAGTGTGCTTATATAAAAACCTATAGCGTTCCCAAATTTCAGCTATAATGAGGTAGATGGAGTGGTAAAATGTTCTATCAACAATTACAACAAAGAGGAACTACCTAGGAATGAACTTAGACTTGTAAGACTTGTGTCAGGAAAAGTACAGAATTTGCCGAGTGGAATGAAGGACTTAGCTACTGTGTTCCCGGGTGGGCAGATATTCCATGTTATGAAAGTGCCAGTTATTTTTCTATTTTCATATTATTATTTTAGTGTTTTGCTACAGGCTGCATGCACATCCTATGGCGGGGAGTGAGAAGTCATCCCCCAGGGGAAGGGTGATCATGCTGGAGTCCCTTTTCCTCCTCTTCTCTTGGGAATTTTTAGCGTGCACACACATGTTCCTGGCATGTTTTTCAACCTACTGGGGCTAGGACTTGAACCACAAAGTTGGCCATGTGGGATTTAGCTACTTTAACACCACCTACTGGCTTTTTTCATAAATTGAATGTAATTTCAGTAAAAAAAAAAAATTAAAATTTATTTCTGGAACCTGACAAAATGACTTTGAAGTTTATTTAAAAGAGTAAATAATAAAAAAGATGAAGTTTTAAACAAAATAATAGACTTTCTTCGGTTTTCTGTCATAGGGTGTGTACTTGCCAGGGACAGAGGGTGAAAGGGGATGCGAGAAATCACCCCTAGGGAGGACGGCCACGCCACAGTCCTCGCTCCATTCTCCTCCCGGGATTTCAGACATGCAGAAGTACATACCTGCATGGTTTTTAAGCCACCAGGTCTAGGACTCAAACCACTGTCAGCCATATGGGAGTCCAGCTGCCTTAACCACCGTGCCACCTGCTGGCTCCATGCATCCTGATTTTAAATAAAATATTTTGTACCAGTCCTGAGTCAGACACATAAAGGCACTAGATGTTCAGAAACATTGTCATCCAAATGAGACTTTGGAATTTAACTCAGTAAGGAAAGGATAGGTTATTCATGAGTAGTTTGGGGAGAACTCACCATTTAGGGAAATCAGTCTTAACTCAGATTTTTGTCAAAATAAGTTGTAAATGGTTTAAACACATTTCTCTCTCTTTTTAAATCTATTTGTTTCTTCCATGAGAGAGAGAGAGCACGCCAGACAGACAAGGAACCCCGCAGGGCCCTTACACTGCGGTCTGCCCTTAGGCTCAGCCACCCCAGATGATGGGCATGGCAGTGCTTGCCCCAGCTCAAGGAGGTCCCAGGGTGTGTGTCCAGGACCTTTCCCATGAGAGTCCATTTGCACTGCCACTGTACCACGACCTGGCCCCTAAAAACATCAGTTTTGTTTTGTTTTGTTTTGAGAGGTTTTTGCTATAGGGTACATATGCTCACCAGAAAGAAAGAGACACACACACATGCACCCGGCGTGAGTTTAGGCCACCAGGTCCGGGATTCAAACTGCCGTTGACTACATGGGAGTCAAGCGACATAGCCATTACACCAACTGCTGGTCCCGAAACATCTGTTCTTAAAATTAAGAACAGAAGCATGTCACTTTGACGATATTGTAAATAAGGTCGATAGGGAAAGCCATTGGAAGAAATGGAAAAATTAAGAGCCAGACTCATCCTTGAGTCTCTGGCAGAGTGCAGTGGGGAAGAGAGAGAAATAGCCCCGTTCCTGCTGTGTCATTTTAGGAAGTGGCCTCTAAAGACTCAGAGGTTTTTTTTTTTTTTGAGAGATTTTCACTGTAGGGCGCGTGCGCTCGCCAGACAGACAGAGAGAGACATAGAGACAGAAAGCGAGAAATCACCCCCCAGGGGGGATGGTCACGCCGCAATCCCTTCTCCTCCATTCTCCTCTCGGGATCTTGGGCACGCACGCACACGCGCCCGGCGTGAGTTTTAAGCCACCGGGTCCGGGACACGAACCGCGGTCGACTACGTGGGAGTCCAGAGACATAGCCATTACGCTAACTGCTGGTTCTCAAGACTCAGAGATTTTTGTAGTAGCAGAATTGAGTGGAATTATTTTCATTGTCTAAAATACTTCCATAAAAAGTGTTCATGAACTTACATGAAATAAGATATACACTTAGACTTGAGTTTATAAAACAGTATATTTAGGGCCAGCATTTGGCATGGTGGTTAAGGTGCTGGACTCCCACATGGCTGACCACAGTTCGAGTCTCTGACCCAGCAGCTTAAAAATCACACCAGGCATGTGTGCGTGCATGCCCAAAATCCTGAGAGGAGAAGGGATTGCAATGTGGCCATTCCTTCTGGGGATGTGACCTGTTACTTCCCCTTTGTCTGTCTGTCTCTTTCTCTCGCCAGCACACATACCTATGACAAAAAAATCTTTAAAATAAAAACAAGTATATTTACATGAAGAAAAAACCCCACTGACCTTCCATCTTCCAGACTCTGCTGGTTTCTTCCAGCTTGGTTTCCCGACGCGGTAAGGGAAAGGAAGTTGCTACTTCATGTAGCTCATTCTGTTCCCTTTGCACAAAAGTTTATCTCTCAGTTTCCCAGTTGCCAAGTCCGGGGGCTCCTCTTTTTTTTTTTTTTTTTTTTTTTTTTTTTTTTTTTTTTTTTTTTTTTTTTTTTTGCATTTCTTATTTGACCCCTGTGTAGCATTTTTATACTGCTTGTTGTACCCTCATCAAAAATATTTCTCTAATAAGCATTTATTACTTAATGTCTACTCACAAAGAGCTAGTTAGATAAAAACGACAGTGTATTGCTTGTGATAGAATATCCCATTGTGGTTAGGAAGAATGCACCCGTTTTTTCCATCAGACCACATGCACAGTTCCAAGAAAGCCTACGTGGAAAAGCGAGGTATAGAACACGGTATATAATCCGGATCCTTCTGTGTAAAGGTTTGGGGGAAAGTCTCTGTGTGTCGATTCTGGCTGATAAGTACTTTTTCCTCCTGGGTGAGTATGGGAGACAGTAATAGTACAACACAGAAGAACGTGTCTATTTATTTATTAAACAGATTTTTTTTTTAAGTTTTTTTTTTTTTTAAAAAAGAGACTTTTGCTATAGGGTAGGTGTACTTGCTGGAGAGACTGCGAGAGACAGACAGAAAATGAGAAATTGTCCCCCCAGGGGGATGACCACACTGCAATCCCTTCTCCTCCATTCTCCTCTCGGGATCTTGGGCATGCACACACACACGGGTGCCCAGTGTGAGCTTGAAGCCGCTGGGTCCAGGACTCAAAACAGTGATCAGCCATGTGGGAGTCCAGTGACGCAACTGTTATGCCGTCTGCTGGTCCCAGAAAATTGTGTTCAGGGAACTCAGTTGGCTTCCGTGCCAGGCTCTGTGATAAATGGTGGGTGTGAAAGGCAGATGAGGCATGCCTCTGTCCCCTGAGAGAGGCTCTGTGGGCCCTTTCTGCAGACGGCGTCTCCTTTTCTGTTGCTGCCTGCCCTGGGCTCCTCCAAGCGCTTCTGTCTTGGTCTGCCTCTTCCTCCTGTTCTCCTCTGCCTTCTTGCATAAGCTCTTCTGTTGCCGTTCCTTCCGGCCTGACCTGTTTTCCGCGGATTCCTAAGTCCGTACCTCCAGCTCCATTTCCTCCCCAGAGCTCCAGACCTGTGTCTCCCGGGTGTGCCATGACTGCTCAGTGATGACTGCTCGCCTGCCCGGTCATGGTGCGCTCCCCCGTCCTGGGTCTCCCCGTCATGCTCCCTGTGGCTGTGAGTGGGACAGCACCAAGTCCAGAAGCTACTTGCCCATGTGTGAACCTGGAAACTGCCTTAGAGTTATTTCTTATGACTTATTTACTTTTCCACGCTACGAAGTACGTGCATGTTTATGAGGGCACTAGGGAGAGGGTGAGCACCCTGCACTAGGGCCCAGTCCCACCAGAGTTTTTATTGGTTTTAAAGAATTATTTATTTACTTTTATTTGTCATTATCATTATTTAATTTGTTCTAGAACATGTGTATTTACCAGAGAGGGACAGAAAGAAAGCGAGAGAAAGAGAGAGAGAGAGAGAGAGAGAGAGAGAGAGAGAAAGCGAGCTTCCAGGTCCAGGATTCGAACTGCAGTTGGCCACGTGAGAGTCCAGTGCATTAACCACTGCCACCTGCTGTCCCTCGTGCTGCAGTTCTTTTTCCTCCAATTCTGTCCCATCAGGATCCTAGGGAGGGACAGACAGACAGACACACACACACACACACACACACACACACACACACACACACGTCTCAGACCCCAGGCAGCCCTGCGAGAATCCTCTTCCTGTGAACAGCACCCAGCTGCTGTGCCCTGGAGCCGGCCCAGAGTTGCTGGTGTTTTATAAC